AAAACAATATGGTAAAACTGGAAAGAGTGCAGAAATGGGCAACTAAATTAAGGGGCATGGAGGACATCAGGAATGACTGACTGAACTTAATGTATTCATGACAATGAAAAGGCCACCGCATTGCTCAGTCAGTGCCCGAATCTTCATTGCACTGGCCTTTGTGAGAGTGCCCTTATACGTATATGGAAAGTGTTCTTTACTGTAAGAGTCTTCCACAAGTACCAGTTCTAGCTGACTCGGTAAATTGTTAAAAAGGGGTGCTTGTGTTTGTAAATGGCTATGAATATTTATAGGAAACAACACTGAATAATTTGGATTCTGAGAGTTATCCAACTACCCTGGGGATCAGAAGGATTTCTTCCCCTGTCTGAACATGCGTTACAATACTTTTTTTTTTTAAATTTAAATTTAAAAAAGTAAGACACACACACGGTGGTAGGGGTGGGGCGGTGTAGAGTGGGAGTTGTAATTTAATTCACCCCTTCTGTTTGTAAAAAAAACAAGTTTGCCAAACCCCATGTGATATAAACATAGTACAGTTTAAGGGCTTGTTTACACTAATCGCCAGACCAGAATGCTTTTTGTCTGGTCCAACAACGTATACCCATTCATTCCTATGGGAAGAGTGAGGCCAGTTCACACCACTACCTTCAGTTCCAGTTTAAACAAATGTTTAAATAAAAAAAGAACTGCATGCACTTTTTTTCTGGTCTGGAATGCACCAGAACACACTTGAACACAATAGACATTCAATTGAGACAAAAAAATGCACCACAATGCGTCAAAAACGCATCACAAATGCACGCCAGAATTTCCAGAAACACATCCAGATCTGGTCTGGAAATGGTGCAAACAAGCCTTAAAAAAAATTAGGAGAAAAAAAATAACATCGAAAAGAAATGTATTATAAAGATGTACAATCACATTGGGACCCTTATGCATATTTTTACATCTGAAGATCTTCTGCTTTCAGGAAATATATAGTTTGGGGTTCTTAATGAACCTGCAACATGAAAGGTGCATTTTATCAGTGAATGTAAAAAAAGCAAGTGTTCTCCAATTTGAATGATTTTATGATTTACTAGTATCAGGCAGTTAAATAATATCTGTTATTGGCTAAGAGAAATAAAGGGGGCCTTTCTACACGCAGCTATAAAGCCAGCAGCATACTCCAATGGAAACAGTGCCAGCAGTTACATTAAGGTCTAAAAAAGCAAATTTGAAGTGTCTAGATACAAGTGGTACAAGAGAAATCACTAAGCTTTATTTCCACTCATGTCATGTTTAGTGTATTATTATATAAATACGTCTGGCACTGATAACTGTTGATATTAAATCAAAGAGAACGTACATGAAATCCAACAGAACTTGATACGGGAGCTGGCTCATACAAGCAAGAATATTTACAGTGTGTCTAAATACTGAAAGCCAGCTACTCCTAAAGTGACTGTCACTAGAATAAAATGCCATTATTAAAGGCCTGCCTACAAAGATAAAGCCTTAAAACTTGCCTGTGCTGTCGCCCACCCCACCTATGTACGCTCCGCTGCAAAAGAATCTTCAGCATCCAACACACTTTTGGGTGTGGCGGATGTCTGGTCCCCTGCTGAGCATTGTGGTTTAATCCGCCAGGCCTACGGCACTCCTGAAGCGATTTAGAGGCTGGCAGAAGGTACCACAGTCAGGCCACGGGACCAGAAATTTGACACTGCCAGAAGTGTCAGATGCTGATGATTCCTCATCAAGCTTTAACTCTTCATCAGAGCAAAGTTCGGTGGTGCAGACAACTTAACATGAAAGTATTAAAGGAGAACTATGAGGAGAGTGAAAAATCACTCAGCCTCATAGTTCTAGCCGACCTGTGACAATGAAACTGTCACAAGTCGGCTCAATAGATCGGGAAGTGATCGAACACATACCGTCGCTCGCTCACTTCTCGATCATGTCCCTGTAGAGAGCTGTGACTGCCACTCACGGCTCCCTGCAGGGATTCCCCCCCTCCCCTGTCCAATCTTCCAGCGCTGAGTGGCGGAACGGACGGGGGAGCGGGCGGGTACAGCTGGCTCTGCCTCTAGATGTGCAGAGCCAGCTGTCACTCACGCAGCTGGGTGGATCCAGACAGTAATGTCGGGATCCGTTCTGGCTGCGGCATCTCAGTATCCCGCGAGCTGTAGCTCGCGGTATACTGAGCTTTGGGTGGCGGGAGCACACTAGTTTGTGTCCTCCCGTTACCCTTAGGACTATGGGGAAAAGCCCTGACCCCATAGTTCTCCGTTAAGTATTTTGCAGGCAGGCCTCATTTACAAAATGTTAGTGTTGCTTTAATGCTGTCCTCCACTGCTGCTTATGCGTAAACTGGTCATACATTGCACGAATTTCAGACAAGGTCTGCCGATTCCAAAATTACAGCTTTGTGTGGCCCTGCCGGTGTTCTGTCATTCCATCGGACCCATGACTTTATCTGACTTCGCGAAGTGTGTGCAGGGCGTGTGAAGGTCTCGGCACCAGACCCATAAATCTCACGGACCAACGGAGCTCATTAGCATTTACTAGCTCAGAGCTCTAACGGACTACCACGCATGCAGCAGTGCAGACATCTGATGGCTACTGCACATGCGTGGGTCCAACAAAGCTCCTTATGCCGCATGTTTTCACGTATAGTGTTTATAAAGAAAAAGAAACATGCACAGTATATTCTATTTATTTTTCTTTATAAACATTATACGTGAAAACATGCGTGGTAGTCCGTTCTGGACTAGGAGCCACTGACAAGCTGCGTTGGTCCATGAGATTTACGGACCTGGTGCTGAAGTCCGATAAAGTCACGGGTCCGAGGGAATGATAGAACACCGGCACCACCCAACAAAACTGCGCCACGCGACAAAACTGGATTAATCAACTTTTGTTGAAGGAGCTGGGTAGAAAATTGTCAGCTGAACACTGACTGAAGCCACACAGCTGCAGTTACTATTCAATATACTGCCAGCTGTCAGAATACAATAGCCCGAAAGGGGAGATGTCCATACGGTTTATCATGGATGGAGGAACCTACAGGTGTACCGCAAGCTTTACGTTCCCCTCACTTCTCCATTTGCTCCATTTACCCACCCAGAGTAAAAAGGAATGTCAGGTACTTCCAGGTATTGGGGCATGTGGCTCACTACCCTTCCTCCCACGTAAAAGCACTGGTACCAAGTGATTGGCTGCTCAGGCACCCAGCGATGTCATATTGAATACTAAATACTAGGGATGCACAGATACCAGTATCGGTGCCGATATCGAGTATTTGGACGAGTACTTGTAATCGCCCAAATGCTCCTGATGCCTATCCCGATAACGTGACTTCCGGTATCAGGAAGCTGGGCGCCGAGTCATTACACGTTGCCTGGCATACTGATTGAAGCCAGCTCCATACTTCTCGTCAACAGGGAGCATAAAGCCGGCTTCCCAGTCAATCAGGAAGCCTGGGGACGGGTAATGACTCGACCCCCGGCTTCCCAGCTAATTTGGAAGCCAGGCGGTGTGTAATGATTTGCCACCAAGCTTCCTGATTGGCCAGCTTCCCGACAAATCAGGAAGCCTGGCGGCGAGTCGTTACCCACACCGTGGCTTCCTGATTAGCCAGAAAGCAGAAAGCTAAAAAGACGAGGGAGCATGGAGACATCTTCCCAGCTTCCTTAATGGGACTTCCAGTATCTGTATTTGGTATCGGCGAGTACCAGAAAAAAATATTGGTACTTGATATGGAAAAAACAGTATCGGTGCATCCCTACAAAATACCAAATTAAATTTCATCAAAAAAATGAATTGACAATCCACTATTATTTTTAAGATGAAACAAACCGTGTATAGTAAGTAGAATGCAAAAAGAGATTATACATTGAAGATTCACTTCAGCTAAACAACTGTGTGCAGATTCTACACAACATTAGGAAGCGTTGATTGGGAAGACCCTATACACTCTGTTTTGCTGACATCTCAGGGCTGCTATTCAGGAATTTGCAGTAATGTTCTCCAATCATTGTGATGGATGAATGTCAGGCCTGAAATGCTCCTATTATCTCTAATTTCCATACATTTTAAATACATTATCAATGGAACTCCATAAAGGATAAATGTTACCTTTAAAAGCAACATAACTGGGATTCACATTCCTTAATGTATCATTGAACAACAACGAAAACTTAAAATGCATCTATCTATTCTTACCTGAAGCACAAAATGCTTTACAATTATAACACACACACACACACACACCTCTAATGCTAATGTTACACTATTACGCTAACAGACTTGTACAGTACAGTAGAGCCCTGAATCTTTCATTCCCAGTGTGAGGGCTACTCTGTGGGAGATTACAATGGGCTAGCATCAAGACAATGTGGGGTCTTGATCACCAGTATCTTGATACCAGTACTGTACTATGCGGCTATTCTGGTGTCGCAAGTGTATTCTCTGTTGACACCGTATCTGTCTCCCTTGTCTTTTGGCTTCCCCAACCAGCACTCCAGTGTCCATCTTGTCTGCTCTGCATTGTCTACCTAGCCCTTAAGAATTTAGAAACCAGATTCTGTCAAGCCTTGGTTATCTGCTATGCGCCAATCATACCGAGTTTCTGCACACCAGGATGGAAAACCCTGAAAACAAGGCTATAGTTACCAGTTGTCTGTGACATATCACTATGTATGACAGAAAGATTTTCTAAAATGCAACAAAATTAAACACTTCTATCGCAAACTAAGAGTTGGCACTCAATTACTTTGCACAGTGGACTCCATCAATAAAAATGGGTAGTGTATGACTAACAAAAAATAAGGTTTTAACAGGTTAAAAAAAACTGTTGTCAAGTTGGAGAATGCAAAAAGTGGGGACCACTCTGTGTTACTACACAAATGGGGAAGGTCTGAATCACTTTTTCATGACAACCCACTTTAAAGTAAACACGGATCGGTTCCTACATAATGTGTAAATTAATAGCACCAGTTAACATTATTACTTACTTGTACAAGTAGTATTCAGCCTGATCGATCTCTTCCCTTGATCTGATGTTGTCTACAAACTGTAAAGAAAAAAAGAAAGCAAAATGGTAAAATTGCAAATAGTAGTAAAGGAAATCCAACTGATAAGTCAATTAAACATATCAATGGAAACCGCTCGGAAAATTGCCAAAGGTGATAGTGTTGCATTGAAAAATGGCGTAGGGATGATTTAAGCCTGTGACACACTTCACGCAAAGCAAAGCAAAGCTGCAAGGCGCAGTGCTGAGCGCAGCCAGATGAAAGACTTCATCTTCAGCCAATCAGCTCACGCGTAACAACTCAATGGACTTCGCATCCTCACATGTGGGTTTATACGTGCAAGCCAATTGGCTGAAGATGAAATGTTTCATCTCGGCACGTTCAGCTATGCTAGCTCTTGCAAGCTGACATGCTGGATCGATAATTGCAAGACACACTGCAGGCAAAGGTCTGCTTGCCACAGCTTTCCTTTGCTGCACGCCGCTTTGCGTGCAGTGCGTCACATGCTTTATGGTCAATGTTGAGACAAGCTGGTTTGTAAAATTTGGGATTTTGGTGTGGAGTGACTTAGAGTTCTATTTACCAAAGCCTATGGTATGTATATGCACATAATTGTGCATGCTGTATCACGATGATGCTGATTTATAAACTCCATCCCAAACTGATCATTTAGTCCCAGATTGAGGAAGATTACAACTTACGGTGCCCATACACCTATCGATTTGCGTTTGGAAATCATCCACAAATGGTCTTCGAGTGATAAATCGATCAGTTGATGGGACACCAACGGTTTTAAATTACTGTACTACCACACGAATTTCCTCGATCGGTCAGGATGGAAATTATTTTTGCGATGTGTACAAAAATCGACGGACACCGATAATAATATATAGGAAGAGGTCTCACAGAAGTAACAGGAGCTGTGCCAAACATGTGCACAGCATGGGAGGGAGGTCCACCAAAGAATGAGCCCCCATTTATAATGAAGATGTAAACAAACCTCTTAAGGAGAACCTGTGCCCAAGGCTATGCACCTTAAAGCATTTGCATATTCTGAATAAGCAGTAAATGCATTTTAAAATAAACCCTCACTCACCTCTGTAGCTAAAGGCATTGTGGAGAAATGTATCTTCAAAGTTCACAACAGAGGCACTAAGTTCACAACAACCTTCTACTACTTAACTTTACATTGCAGCAGACTCTTGGAAGCCTGCAAGACTTTTAATGTAAACACACCAGGCTCCTTTAAACTGTTAGAAACTCACTGAAACCAAACTCTAAGGGCAGGTTCACACCATTTGAACCTGCCCACAGTTCCAGTGCATTTCAGACAAAATGAAACATGCAGTATTTTTCTGGTCTGCTCTGGAACGGTTTGCGCTAGTGTGAACAGAGGCCAGGAATAGCATAGGGATACATTAGGATACATTTTGGGTCCGGAAACCATCTGGTCTGGTCTGCAGATGATCTGGATGTGGTGTGAATGAGCCCTAAAGTCTTTGTTGTGATCTTTGAGAAATAATTACTTCGCCGTACAAGCAGCTACAGAGGTCACAGATGGCTGGGTTCACACCATTTTCTGGACCAGATCTGGAACATAGTGCACTGCGTTTTTGCCGCGATTGGAAATTGTTAAAAACATTTTTTAGCTTACAATGGTCTTGCAGGTGTGTTCCAGTGCATTCCAGACCAGACAAAATAGGACAAGTAGTATTTTTCTGGTCTGGTACGGACTGCGCTGGTGGGAACAGAAATAGCATAGGGATACATTAGGATGCATTTTGGGTCCGGAAACAGTCTGGTCTGAATGGGCCCTAAAAGTTAATTTACCTCTAGTTAGAAAAATCAGGGATTATATCTAGGTTATATTTTTGGTTTTAGATGTTACGGTGAAGCCCCTCTGTCACGTTTTTATTGCTGCTTATGCCCCCATTGGGGAAATTGACCCCACTGTGTGTCATGATGACTACTGTCAACGAAACAAAGTATGGGGAAATCCGAACTTTAAAGTTGCCCCTAGAACAAAAGGCAAGGGAAAAACCTTCGAATGGGGTCACCTGTCTAAGGAGGAGAAATTTAAAAATATAAATAAATAAAAAAGTTGCCTTATACATACACACTTTAAATACTTTAATGTCCATAGTCTAGGCACAGGTGCACTTTAAATGAAAAAATGTCAAACATCAAAGACAAAACAGTGCTGGATTGCTGGTTAAGAATTATATTGCGCACACTCACCCAGGACAAATCTCAGCTCAAGTTTTTTTTTTAACCTGTCAGCCAATAAGAAGTATTTACCCACCTGTGCAATTGTAAGGGAGCTAACTGGAAACTTCCTTTCGTAGTTCTTATCCATTTGATTTGCCAGGTTAGCTGTGAAGACACAAATGTGATTTGGTGAAAAGGAGTTTCGTTACAGACTTCACTATTTTAAAGTTTACTTCCACTTTGCAGTCAAATTTGAGAAAACCCCTCCATATGGTCGTTGTGTGTTCCTGTTTACACAGCACACTGAAAAATAACTTTAAAAAAAAATGTTCTCCTCTGGCTGATTCCAGGTTTTTCTTCGCCCTTTCACAGTTGTCTGTCCATATAGGAAGACTAGGGACTGAAATTTGAGGATTGTATTTATCTGATAAGAATCATTAACATACAATGGGCAAGCTACCTTAGACCCCTCACCCATCACAGCCACTCCTAACAGCTCAAAGAAATATAAGCTAGAAAAAATGTTAACCCTTAAAATCCTAATGCAAGTAAAAGCAATTTAAACTGCAAGAAGCATTTTTTTTTTAGCTTATGCTATGTGAATGGGAACATGTAACAAATATAAATTAGGTGTTATCCCAATTTGGCTGCGAAAGTGGAAATACACTTTTAAAAGTACCTCCTAGGAGCAGGCACCAAATTACCCTTGTTAGGGTCACCATACACATTATAATCTGACCATACAGTCAACTTTAGATTTACCAAAACTATGTAATACAAGGACCTACCTAATCTATCCAATACATTTGTATCCAATCAGACAGGTTCTTGCACTACATAGTTGTTGGCAGATCTAAAGGAGATTACATAATCAGATTGAAATGAGTGTAAGATGAGACTGTTCCATGTGTCAGTCTGAGCCAAGCCCCACCACTGGGAATGAATTCAGCCTAATGCCCCCCTCTCCCAAAATAAGGGGGAAATCCAAGCCCAGAAGTTGGGAAAGTTGAGCTCTTAGTAACAAAGCAAGCTCAGGACCAGAGGAGCAGGGAGAACACTTTACTGGGTAATAAAGGCAATGGTATGCACGTTTGCTCGGGGGCCTGCTCGCAGGAAGGTGTTTGGAGCTGTTCCCGTACGGCAATCAAGAGCTGCAATTGTGACTCACAGCTCACGTCGTCTTAAGGTGGCCATACACTGTACAACCATCGCAAGACCTTAGTCTTGCGATGGTTGTAAAGGGATTAAAAAAACGTACGATCTGCCTATCTTGGACAGGCAGATCGCACTCTCGATCATCGCAAGCCCGCCCCCCTGAGGGGCGGGCTTCCGATGACCGCAATGCTGAACGGGCAGTGTGCGCGTGCGCACACCGGCCCGTTCAGCATTTGTCTTCCGAGCACCGTTCTAACCAGCCGAGAATTGTACGATTCCCGGCTGGTTTTCGAACATGCTGGTTCGACGGAAGACGTGCGACCGTACAGTAGAAACGGTCGCACGTCTCCGTTCACACTGCTCGATTCTCGTACGATCGCGGGATTTCCCGCCATTCTCGTACGAGAATCGAGCAGTGTATGGGCACCTTTATTCAGGACACACGTCATACATGTGCCCATCTTCTGTCCTGCTTTAAAGCAGAACCCCAGGCAAAATTGTTCTTAACCCTTACAGTGGGGCTACCACTGCACTGCAAGGGTTAAATGCTCGTTTTTGTCTGGTTGCTAAAAAAAAAAAAAAGTTATATTTACCCAATCCTTGGAGCTGGCTTGCTCTTAGTCTGATCCCTGGAGCTTCTCTTCCCCTCCGCTCCAGTGGTCTAAGGATCCTTGACACATCACGTTCTATACACAGTGTATAGGATGTGAGGATGCCGAGGGACATTCCATCGCTGGAGCTGAGCAGGAGAGAGGCTTCAGTATCTGCTTCTAGGGATGCACTGATACTCGTCCAAATGCTCAGATACCTTCCTCGATACCAGAACTTCCGGTCAGAGAGAGATTTCCTCTCACTGGCAGTGCCGCGAGGGAACATGGAGCCGGCTTCCTAGCCAATCAGGACGCCGTGACTCGCCACCCGCCTTCCTGATGTTCCATGCTGTTTGTCTGGGAAGCTGGTTTCCCAGCCAATCAGCATTGAGCCAGCCAAACAGCATGGAGTCGGCTTTGCGGCCAATCAGGAAGCCGGGCGGCGGGTAATGACCTGCCTCCTGGCTTCCTGATTGGCTTCCTGTTCAGCTGAAGTGAATCTTCAATGTATAATCTCTTTTTGCATTCTACTTTAGAGCTGCAGCTAACGATTATTTTCAAAATCGATTAGTTAGCCGATTGAGTTCGATTAATCGATTAAAAAATCAAATACATTTTTAAAAATGGGACTACTAGTTTGTATTGAGATTGTAGTCCATCACAGGAGCAAGCTTGGAGCGGTGGAAGTAAATAAGGAAAAAAAAAAAGGGTGGTGTGCAATATAGTGAAAAGCCGGTTTCCCAGCCAATCAACATCGATCCTGCCAAACAGCATGGAGCCGGCTTCCCGGGCAATCAAGAAGCCGGGTGGCTTTGCTCCTCAGCTTCATCTAGTGGACACAACGCAGTAGTTTCTGAATGTTACATTCAACCTGAAAAGAAAATATACTAAGAACATTCGTTTTTGCCTCTATTCACGCAAAACAAATGTTCACAAAGATTCTGCAAATTGTTTGTAAATAGAACCCCATGTGTCAGGACATTAAAGGAGAACTATGATGTGAGTGCTTTTCACTCACCTCATAGTTCTAGCCGACCTGTGACAATGAGACTGCCACAGGTCAGCTCAGTAGATCGGGAGGTGAGCGAACACATACCGGCGTTCGCTCACCTCTCGATCCTGTCACAGCTCTCTGCCGTGACAGGGGAGGGGCTGGATTCCCCCCTCCCCGCTCCGATCCGCCAGCGCTGACTGGCCGAACGGACGGGGGAGGGGGCGGGTACAGCTGGCTCTGCCTCTAGATAGGCAGAGCCAGCTGTCAGTCACGCAGCTGGGCGGATCCCGGCATAATTGTCGGGATCCGCTTCAGCATCACAGTATAGCAGTCTCAGCAGCAGCTCGCGATATACTGAGCATAGGGTGATGGGAGGATGCTAGTTTGTGTCCTCCCGTTACCCTAAGGAGAACTATGGGGTAAAGCCTTAACCCCATAGTTCTCCTTTAAAGAATAAGAGCTCGGACTGTTGGCCGCTTATTTGGGGTAAGTGCTAAAGCCAGGGACATGCCAGACAAATCGTGTTTTCAGAAGGAATTTAGCAACAGCAGTCCCTGCATTTATTTCATGGGAGATGTCCCTAAAATATGCTATCAGCCTGCAGCGGATTCTAAAAATTTCATTTTTTTCTTCTTTCACATGAATCTTACACACACACATCTGAACAAGCCCACAGGATAGTGAGACAGACAACACACAGCCCAGTCTGGGGTGTCTCCTGCAGTGAATATACATAGGAATGTGACAGATGGAAGAGGACAGGAAGTACAGATCTCATCCATAACTCACACCAATAAAGCCCATCAGTCCGTTCTTTAAAATAAAAGATGACGCCATAATTAGTTTAAAAGGCAATCCTGTTAGTCTGGGACCTTTCATGGCCATGATGACTGCAATCAGGATAAGGTTTCTAAATGATCTTTTCTAGGGCCTGTTGATGCTTGTGCTGCGTCCTGCAGGTTAATGCATGCGCCCACTGCAGGGGAACTGCGGAGAGCTGATACAATAATCCAAATCTAATGGAAGCAGTTCACAGTGCGGATCTGTGGTGCCATCCATTCTATAAATTATGACACATCCTGCAGTCAGACTGGGCTTATACATGTTCTCAGCTACACAGGAATGAAAGATCATGCAAAATACACATGGATTAAACATTTTTTTTCCACTTTTTAGAAAAATAAACACTTCATAAAAGAAAAATGTGTTTTTTGTTTTTTTTTAAATTGGAGCCAATAAAGCATTGCAACTGCGATAAGTAAGTCATGGGTGCAATGCCCTGGCTCCTGCAGATTCTTCCTCTCATCCATTTTCATACCTCAGTGTGGACATTAAGTAACATGGACGGGAGGAAGAATGAATGGACTGAATGTGACGTCACTGCACTTGTATTCCATTGAAAACTACATGCCCCTCTGCTGTGGTGGCCGATTGTCCTGTCAATGCATCTGCGAATGGATGATAAGGCTGAGAGGATGTAGTCATGCACAGCTGCACCACATTTAAAAAAACAGCAGCAGCATGTGAGGGGGAAGAACCCTGTGATCCAGATAAGGAGTGCTGTGATTTGGCTATGCTTCACGTTACACCCCGAGTATGGGTGTAACATGAAATATGGTCCAAAAGGTTAACTTAGCCTTTAAGTATCATGTTTTAATCCACCTGATTCCAAACCAGTGTTTAATGAAGAGCTCCAGGCACACTGCTAAATACACAGATGAAATACATATAAGGGAACTATTTTCATGTGAAAGTATTTGTATTTCTGTCCATTCAGTCCTGAGATTTACAAAGTCCTTCCACACCGTGAAACCAGATGGATGACACCCTTGTAGAAGGAATGCGGTAGCGGGGTGTTTCTAGTGTCCTAATAGACCAGGGGCACCTCAGGGCACACAATGTTGGGGGGCTGGGAGCACACCATGCTGACCGATTTGGATCAAATCTAATTCTAAAAGGTGCTCAAAGAATCGCACGGCTCCTCCGCAGCACAAGCAGGGGACATCCAGGTGCTCTCCAGCTGGAGCTCGTCCTCACTCCCACATTTGCTACTGTTAAATCAACAAACATACTGCCACACTCCATATATCGTAGAGTAACTCTGCAATTAAGGATTGGGTGAAATGCGTCAGGCGGCAGACCTTTGAGACGGGACTTTAGGCAGCTGTGTGAGATTTTCAATAAAAGAGGTTTCTAGATATATATAATGGAGTGCAACTGGAAGTTTTGTTGATTTAAAAATAGACAAGTATAAAAGGTGGCCATGCGCTATACATGAGGGCAATATAATGAGAGGGGAAAAACTATCTATTCAATTTGTATCCAAGCAGGCCAGCCCTTGCACTACAAAGTTGATGGTAGATCTAAAGCAGATTGTTTGAGTTTGGGAGCTGCAGTATAGGGGATTGCAAGAAGCATATAAACAAGTCACATTCATGTAGTTACACTGGTTGCATTTAAACATACATTTAAAAGGAGAACTATGAGGAGTGCTTTTCACTCACCTCATAGTTCTAGCCGACCTGTGACAATGAGACTGTCACCACAGGTCGGCTCAGTAGATCGGGAGGTGAGCGAACACATACCGGCGCTCGCTCACTTCTCGATCCTGTGCTGGCAGAGAGCCGTGACAGGGGAGGCACTGGATTCCCCCCTCCCCGCTCCGATCCGCCAGCGCTGACTGGCGGAACGGACGGGGGAGGGGGCAGGTACAGCTGGCTCTGCCTTTAGATAGGCAGAGCCAGCTGTCACTCACGCAGCTGGGTGGATCCAGACAGTAATGTCGGGATTCGTTCTGGCTGCGGCATCTCAGTATACCGCGAGCTGTAGCTCGCGGTATACTGAGCCTAGGGTGCGGGAGGACGCTAGTTTGTGTCCTCCCGTTACCTTTAGGAGAACTATGGGGAAAAGCCCTAACCCCATAGTTCTCCTTTAATTATGGAATCAGGGCATTAAAAACCTATACTATATGGCTACAGATTTGTTGTTCCTGACCATTACACCTATATGAGCTTGTTGGGCATCCTAGGTCAGAACCATGGGCATTAATATGGAGTTGCAAATCCCCCTCCTCCCCAAATCCTCTCTGAATTGGTGCTGACACTGTCCTTCCTTCTGGAGGGTGTCTACTTTTGTTCCTCTTGGTCCCCGTGTGTTGTAAAGTAGTCACCACCACCAATTTACCAATTCATATTGAAACTGTAGTCCATCATGGGAGCGAGCCTGCAGCGGTGGATACTCTACAACACACACAGGGACCATGGGGAACAAAAGTAGCCCCCCTCCAGAAGGAAGGACAGTGTCAGCACCAATTCAGAGATGATTTGAGGATCTACAGCCGAGTGATATACAAATAAGATACATTTTTGTTACTAGTTAAAAAGGTACCTGAATGCATTTTTAAGATTTAATTTCTGAGTTTAAAGTCACTTTAACTTCCTCCACAACAAACTCATTATACCATGAGAAGAATTTATCAAAACTGGAGTGGACAAAATTTGGAGCAACCGTGTTTGGCAACTAATCAGCTTCTCAGTTTCATTATCACATCCCGACTGAACAAACTGGAGAGAAGCTGATTGGTTGCCATGGGCAACTGCTCCAGACTCTGATAAATCCCCCCTCCTATGTATTTGGATCTGGCATTGTCCGCAGGAATTCAGTCAGGTTGAAACAGAAAATGATCTTTCCCAATCTGTTACCACAAGGTTGGAAGAACACAACTGTCTAAAATGTCTTTGTGCTGTATGTATGCTTTAGCATTAACAGTACCCTTTACCGGAAACACCTAAACTCAATCATTTAGAGTCTTGTCCACGTTGTTTTTACCAAATAGTGTACCTGTGAGTTATAACCGTAGCTGGAACAAGTACTGGGAGCTTGCAATTTGGAAAATGTTCCTTCAAGTTTGCCTAATCTTCCCTTTTTTAAGCTCCCAAATGAACGGTATGTATGCAACACTAAATACAGTATATTTTGACAGTTAGGGGACTATTGAGTTGGGTCTGAGACTAAAAAGACTTGCTCAGTGACCAGCATATAGCTCCCCATCCAACTATGTGCAACAAATGAATAAACTAACAATCATTTTATCATTACTTATAAACAGAACATATAATAAAAAGACATATGACATAAGAATCTATGGCAAAGCAATGGTAAACTGGTTTAGATTAGAGTGCAGCACCATTAAAAGGAATTTGTATAAGAAACATGAATTTTAGATAAACACTGCCACCTGGTGGTCAAGCAGCATATAAGCATCGAAGACCAGGGGCATTGAATTGTATAACACATGGCAATCAGGCAGACACCTGCCTTGGTGTGTTTAGAATAAACAGATTTATAAAGCACATGTTGAATAACTAATTTTCACAAACGCTCTTTATATCGGGTTATTAAAATCAGTCCAAAACAAGTGACCGTTCCAAATAGAAGGGGCCAATTTATGAGAACCTCAGAAAAGGCAGAGCGACACCCCGCAGGAACCAGACACGTCTCATCTTTCATTTTTTGGAGAAATAAAGTAAACAATATAGTACAAGGATAACTCACCTAAGTTATGGGGTTCCTTTTCCCATTTCTCCCATATACTGTCACTGGTATATGCCGAAGAGAGAATAAATCTTTTCCCTGTGAAATAAATATTTGAGTTTTAATTACTGTGAAATTATTAGCTCCGAGCATACATGACCATGTGAACCACACATATTCTAAAGGAAAATATAATTATTAATTAATATAATTATTTTTTTAAAATATTGCTGGGACACTCATCTATGTATTTAAAACAGTCAAGATGAGAACGGTCATACATAATAATTCCTTCCTTGCACTGCTTCATGATGTATAAATAGTGCCTTCTGATTCAGCAATTTGTGAACTTCATCATTGCAGCGGTGCTAATGTGAGTTCTATATAACGTATTATAGGCAGATCCCAGAAAGCTTTTCACATGTAAGAAAGGTTGAAGTCTGTGCTGTCCTTACCTTGGTGACTTATTATACAGTATGTCAGGGAACCAGGGGTACCACATCACCCAGGGGCCGCCAGGTACGGTCTAATGCACAGGGTCTCCCCTTGGCTTGGCAGGACTCCTGTTGACAGGGTTGCGGGTGCACATGCGCAATGTGTACACGCCCGCGGCCATTAGTGTTGTCAGGTGTGGGTCTTGCTGGGGGAGGTTCCTGGCACACACCTTCCATTTTTACCTTCTGCCATTGGCTCCTGGACAGGGAAGCCTCCTGGTTGTCTCGGCGACCGGGGGTGGTCCTGATTCCCACTCGGTATATATTCCAGCCAGAGCCCTGGCTTGTTGCTGCATTATTCTGCCAATATGGTGCAATTAGCTAGCCTCTTGAATCCGATACTGCTGCAGCTTACTGACCCCTCATCTGAACTCTTGGTTATTGACCCCTTGGCCTGTCCTCCCGCTCTTGATCCTAGCCGCCAGCCTCGACCCGGACTGAACCTTGACTACGCTTTTTGGAATTGCCCCCTGTGTACCTAGTTGCGGATCTCCTACGGTCCGTTTCCTGCCAGTAGGTCTGTCTGCCGCGCGTGTGCACATCACGCATGCGCACCCGCAACCCTGTCAACAGGAGTCCTGCCAAGCCGCAGGAGACCTTGTGCACTACACCATACCTGGCGGCCCCTGGGTGAGGTGGTACCCCTGGTTCCCTGACATTAGATGAAGTCACTTCTGGCCTTACCTATGCCTCGGGTATTGGTAACACTATGGGGTCTATTTATATCCACGGGGCCCTTTGCTTAGGAAATATCTGTTAATGCCTGTTCTATGAGATGAATGCCAAAACTAACTTTCTTTAGTTGCTTCTAAAATATATAAAAACACAAGGTAATGTATTTTCAAATGTGTTTTATCAAGTAATCAAATGCAGAGAGAGATCTCCACATCACAGTTTCACTGCGTGGGTTTTGTTGCAGGTGCCGGGCAAGAGAGCCGTACCGAAAACCACGTCGGGGAGGGAGGCAGCAGAACATGAAGGGGGGGTGTAGTGGGGGGACAGATCTGCAGGCGAATTACAAGTGATCTCAGCGGCATTGCTGAGACCACTTGAACAAAATGAGCGGCAGCTTCCAAGCTTCTACATTTAGCTCTGCTTGCCAAAAGCAGGGCTAAATGTATCTTGCTAGTTGGCCCCGCTGCCTCTAAAAATACCTGAACAATGCCTGCAACCAATCAGATTGTTCAGGTATTTTGACAGCCAGCAGGGCACGATACTGAAGCTTGGCCCAGTGGGAGATTCCTTCATCCACACAGTTTAGCGTAGATGGAGGAATCTGTTGCACTTTTTCCATCTAACCATAGAAAGTCTGCAGATAATCTATAGGTGTATGGCCAGCTTTAGACCGGTCCTTCCAGCCACACTGCCCCTCTGCTGCAGGATCCTCAAGTTATCACATCCAATAAACAGAGCATTGGATGTGAGGATGTTGAGGGAACTACCATCACTGCAGTGTAAGTGTAGAGAAGCTGGAGGGAGTGCTGTGACAGCCGACCGGCTCCGAGGTGAGTACAGCTTTTTTTTTTTTTTTTAGTCCCTAGATGAAAACCAGCAGTTAACTCTTGCAGTGCGGGGATAGCAGCACTGCAAGGGTTAATAAAATAATTCCCGGAGTTGTTCTTTAAAGCTCCACTTACCAAAACTGCAAGCTTTTTGTCAAAAGAGCCATGCAAAGTCTCCGCTAGCTCCTAGCAATTTTGCTCTTAGACTGTATCATGCAAGGCACATGCAAAGTCTCTTTTGACAGAAAAACCCTTCCCCATATATCCATATATTGCTAGAAATTGTTCTCTACAATGCATCGCCTATGCCACCAACTTATCTAAGCGCACACACAGAGCCAAGGACCCCATTCCCTTCCTCTTGTGACCATCCTGGGCCAATCAAGAGGCTCCTAGCACTGTCACATGAATGAGGGGGAGTGCATCACATGCTCACCCATACCAGGAAGTGCTGGGCATTTCACTTCACTCCTAGTGGTATGCTGCTGGGGGGACTATGTGCATGTGACATGGCCCCCTGTGCCTGCATGAATGAACGCAAAAAGGTTAATAGGAGTGTGATTTCTGCACTCGGGAGTCACAGGCGGCAACCTGTACAAACCAATGACCGGCTGACAGACACCATGGCGGTACGCACCTCTGAGCAGGGAAGGATGAGGAGCTCTGAACGCTTGCCGCTCATCCGTCCCTGGACAGATGTTACTACTCAGACTTGCATACATTGCGCTATTGATTTGCACAGGCTGCTGCCCATGGCTGCACGCAAAACACCTGTGACCTCCAAACGCATAAACACACACATTCTTTATGCTGTACATGTAAAACCTTTTCTAACACATCTAAAATGTGCAGCTGTGAACAGAGTCACATGGTCAGTTGAGTGTGGGGTAACGCCAAGGTATTTCTTCAACATTATAGAGCACTGCCCACTTACATCTGCTCGTGGTTACAAGTGACAGTGTCAGGTTTACAGGCCATTCACAATGTGTGCCATCTGTGGTGATTTGCTGTGCCATTCATTTAGGTTGCTACCCTAACATACAACTACAGTGGCAGCAAATACACACGCACACAGCACCAAAAAAAGGCTCACAGACATTTTTCATGAGTTTAAAAGTTTATAAAGCCATCATGTGCAGACATACTCCTGTGCAGACATGCACAGCGCACCTGCCCATTATGGCATTGACATTTTCTGTTCCACCAATATGAGGTCTGAGATCCCCGCTTCCATCTTCTCCAGCGTCTTATTGGTTCGGCTGGATTTACATTGTTTTGACACCCAGCTCAATTTTGGGCATCTTATAGAAGTCAGGACCATCACTGATGCCATCATTTTTTACATTTGGTGAGAAGTACCATAAAACTTACATCGGCCATGAAAAGATATGGGGGCCGCCATTGCTGGCCACCAGGGTGACAGCCTCACATCCTGCAACTTTTGAAAACAAATTAGCAATGGCATTTTCTAAATGTTGATCATGCAATGCACCAAGGCATGTTACCACAGAACGTGTGATGGTGTAAAGGGGGCGTTGGTGTTCAATGGTGCATTGGGGTGCCATTTATAATGAGTGACTATTCTTAATGAACAGCACTGCATCTCGCTTTACAGTAGTGTGATGTGTGTATGGGTGTTTGAGTGTCATTTATGATGAAAGTTACTGCGTCACATTAACATACATTACTGCAAAGTGTCAGTGTGAATGGGCATTGGGGTGCCACTCCATGGTGTATTGGAGGTGCCATTTATAATGAATGGTCATTCATGAGGAATAGGGCTGCAATGAACATTACTGCAGTGTGATGGTGTGCATGGGTGTTGGGGTTCCTCTTATAATGAATGGTACTGTGTTGCACTAACACGAATTACTGCCATGCGATGGTGTCAGTGGTGGTGGAGTGCCACTTATAATGAATGGTACTGAATTGCACCAACATACATTACTACAGTGTGAATGGGCACTGGGGTGCCACTCCATGGTGTGTTAGGTTGCCATTCATTATGAATGGCACGACATCGCACATCACTGCAGTAGGATGGCGTGCATGGGCATTGGAGTGCCATGAATGGTACTGCGCCATACCAACACACATTACTGCAGTGTAACGGTGTGAATGGGCGCTGGGGTGCCAGTCCATGGTGTATTGGCACAGCATTTTTTTGTTACTGCAGTAGGATGGCATGCATGGGCATTGGAATGCCATGAATGGTACTGCGTCATACCAACACACATTACTGCAGTGTAACAGTGTGAATGGATGCTGGGGTGCCAGTCCATGGTGTATTGGCACAGCATTTTTGTGTTACTGCAGTAGGATAGCATGCATGGGCATTGGAGTGCCATGAATGGTACTGCGTCATACCAACACACATTACTGCAGTGTAACGGTATGAATGGACGTATGAATGGACGCTGGGGTGCCACTCCATGGTGTATTGAGGATGCCATTCATTATGAATGGCACAGCATTTTCGTGTTACTGCAGTAGGATGGCATGCATGGGCATTGAAATGCCATGAATGGTACTGCGTCATAAAAACACACATTACTGAAGTGTGATGGTGTGACTGGGTGCTGATGTTGTATTGGGGATGCCATTCATAATTAATGCCATTGTACTGCACCAATTTAGATGGGGCGTCCTCTCTGTGCTTATTGCAATCCAGATCAATGAAAGCTGCCAACTTGCCCAGAGCCCCATTGTGCCCTTACCCCTCTCTGCCCTTCATGACTCCTCAGTGCTGGGCTCCTATATAAACTATAGTACAGCGCTGACATCAATAGGCGAGCCGCAGTATGACATACTCCTGTATGATCACCATGCTGGGACCTGTAGTTCTCCAGCAGCGGTCAGTCACAGTGATCCCGCAGAGGGGTATCCGACCGTCACATGACCTGCACTTGGCCGCACAATAGGTCGCAGCGGGAGATCACTCAGTATAATGATGTCGCTACGTCCTGTGTACACTAAGCCCAGCCCGTACCTGTGACCAGAGGGCTACCCGTCCGGCCCCGACACCTTGAGAGCAGCGCACACCGATACACTATGGAGGCCGCCATCTTGTTAGAAGGCAGGATTCCTGTCTCCGGGAGATGACAGGGAGGGGCGGACCTATGCGGCACCCAATGGCGTGCAGCGCCGGGACTTGGTGTGAGACGGTCAGGTGTCTGGATGTGTGATCGGAGACAACGAGCACCAGGGACACCGTATACTAGCCAGGTGACCGGACGCAGCGCTACCGGAGGGAACAGGGCACGGGGACAAACACCTGTGTGTGAAGCCACTGATGGAAGGGCACGTGTGTGCTACATTTTGTGTCACATTGCAACAGACTGCTGAGATGGCACTAATCACTTCACCACCGTAGAATTTTTATTTGGGCTACAAAAGCTGCTTAGAACCCCCAAACATAAATGTTATGAAAGCAGAGGCCCTGTAGAAAAAAACAGTTGCAATTTTTTCTTTTTTATGGCTTGCAATAGTTTATCAAATTGATATTTTTGGGGAAAGAATACAATAAAATAACGTAATATAATAATACACAATTCTTCCGGTAAAATATAAAAGATGGGGTTACGTCGGTGGTTTTGTTGGGTAAAAAGAGACCAAACATGTCATGAAAGGAAGGTTTATGGAAGCATGAAAGGATGAAGTCCTCAAGAGGAAAGGAAGACAAAAAGAATCCTCTGGCCCAAGGAAGACCTAATCCTTGTAAGGAACCAGCAAAGGTTCCATGTATGATAGAGCCGTCCACTCCCAGCAGAAGTGATAGCAACATGGAGGCATCCTTGTATGTAAGATCCACCAGAAGATATCTGTGAGGGAGCTCGCTGGAGACATGAATGTGGGGCTGCAAAGAAACATTATTTTCATAATCTGTTTTTCCATTAATTGGATATAAAAAATACTAAATACCATCCTTCATTTAAAATAAAATGCACAAATGCAATGTTACAAACATAAAGTTCCCCACTGGAACGCACAGCATTGCGGTACCGCATGTTCCAGGGCAGGCGATCACACTGTGGATGGGAGCTGCATTTGGAGTTCCATTGAAATGAATAGCACTGCAACACACCTCCCGCAGCAGAATTTGTCAGGCTGAAGTCGAAAATAACTTTTTCCTACTTTACATTTTTTTTCTAATAATTGTATGTATTATATTAGACATTTTAATTAAGAAATGGAAATTTTAATAACAAAACCGAAATAAAAAAAATTGTTAGGCCGAAACCGATACCGAAAATGTTTTTTATTTTATTTAATTTTTTTTATGTTTAATTTTTTTATTTACTGTGATTTGACTGTGATAGGCAGCTGAGCAGTGTTGGAGGAGGCGCCGGCTGCTCACTTCTAAATATTTCACGGTCACCTGTTAGTGGTATTATAACAAAGTGGAAGCAACTGGGAACAACAGCAATTCAGCCACAAAGTGGTAGGCCACGTGAAATGACAGAGCGGGGTCAGCGCATGCTGAAGCGCACAGTGCGCAGAAGTCGCCAACTGTCTGCAGAGTCAATAGTTACAGACCTGCAAACTTCATGTGGCCTTCAAATTGGCACAGCAACAGTGCGTAGAGAGCTTCATGGAATGGGTTTCCATGGCCGAGCAGCTGCATCCAAGCCTTACATCACCAAGTGCAATGCAAAGCATCGGATGCAGTGGTGTAAAGCACGCCGCTACTGGACTCTGGAGATGTGTTCTCTAGAGTGACGAATCACACTTCTCTGTCTGGCAATCCGATGGGCGTGTCTGGGTTTGGCGGTTGCCAGGAGAACGGTACTTGCCTGATTGCATTGTGCCAAGTGTAAAGTTTGGTGGAAGGGGGATTATGATGTGGGGTTGTTTTTCAGGGGTTGGGCTTGGCCCCTTAGTTCCAGTGAAGGGAACTATTAATGCATCAGCATACTAAGAGATTGTGTACAATTTCATGCTCCCAACTTTGTGGGAACAGTTTGGGGATGGCCCCTTCCGGTTCCAACATGACTGCGCACCAGTGCACCAAGCAAGGTCCATAAAGACATGGATGAGTGAGTTTGGGTTGGAGGAATTTGACTGGCCTGCACAGAGTCCTGACCTCAACCCGATAGAACACCTTTGGGATGAATTAGAGCGGAGACTGCGAGCCAGGCCTTCTCATCCAACATCAGTACCTGACCTCACAAATGCACTTCTGGAAGAATGGTCAAACATTCCCATAGACACACTCCTAAACCTTGTGGACGCCTTCCCAGAAGAGTTGAAGCTGTTATAGCTGCAAAGGGTGGGCCAACTCAATATTGAACCCTATGGACTAAGACTGGGATGCCATTAAAGTTCCTGTGCGTGTAAAGGCAGGCGTCCCAATATTTTTGGCAATATAGTATATCTTTTGGTATTTGCCATATGCTATGAACTGGTAGGATTGATACTCACTTCTTCACCCACAGAGTTTCAGAATATGTACTCCGTGACCTGAAAAATGAAAACTACACCCATACAGTGGAAGTGGGTCCACCCTTGTCATTTGTGGAACTACTTTATCAGTATCTTGCTACTTGATTTCTGCACATGCTGTGAATGTGAACAGTTCATTGAGAACAGGCTTAGAGCATGACCTTATAGACTAGATACAACATTGTCATTGCCAAGGGGACAGTTTTGAAGGGCTGCAATGACCACAACACAATACTTATTTGAATATCCATTATGTGGAAGGTAGCCCTTGGTATATGGACCAGGGAGATGATAAATGGCCTAAGCCAGAGCCGCAAATTCAACAATTAACGACCATTAAATGACCATTTCAATAAACTTTACAACTGGATTCTCAATGGCTAGTGCATGGGGTAATCAGTCTTGGTGCACCAGCTGTGCCGAAACTACAAACCCCATTATTCCTCTGGAAGTCATGCCTAAGGCTGTTAGTCTTGCAATGCCTTATGGGACCTGTATTTCCAGAACAGCTGTAATGCCAAGGTTGCCTACCCCTGGGCTAGTAAGCAATGGGATACAAGTGGAAGGAGATGATGCTTTTTCAAGATTATCTTCATATGTGTGTTGTGTTAAAACTCTGAGGAAAACCAGTTTCACTGTGACAGGGTTTTATTTTTTATGTTTTGTTCTTTTTTTCTGCAAACAGAGCCCTTGTATATTAAATGGTGGAAACACAATAACGCTGGCTGTTTCTAGTCTAATGGGAACTAGTGTGTGGACTCCCACTAACCTGCGCAAAATGCCCACTGAAGTGGTCTACCCCAAGAGACAGTGAAAGCCGGGCTGCTATCATTACACTGGATAAGCATTGTCTGGTCCAGTGAATACTGGTTGTAGCTGCATCTTGTTGATGGTGGACTCAGGGGTTATGTAATGCCTTTTGAAATGAACTTGGACAAGGATTATTTAATTGTGAACCTTGACTTTAACATCAGAGTGCTGCAGGACATCTGCCATGAGTTAGCAGCGATCATCCAAGCCAAAGGCACCCCATCGAACAACTGAACAGGGGTTCCTATCATAGCCATGGGATGTAAAGTAAAATGCAAAGTGAATAAGAACATACTTTACATACTGTGCCTGATACTGCTTAGCAGAAATGGATATAGAGTAGCTGATGAAGAATACTGGTTCATACACATGCAAGGACCGGCTTCTTCTGTCTATCAGGGGTCTAATGGCAAAATTAGGGCTGGTACTTGAGACATCGACGTCACCGGACTCCTCCCCTTCCCTTCATTAGCCGTCACCGGACTCCTCCTCCCTTCCCTTCTTTAGCCGACGTAGCCACTTGGGGAAGGGGGAAGGAGTCCGGTGACGTCGATGTCCGTGACGTCACCGGATCTCCGACGGTACTCCCGGAAGCCGGAGGAGAGGTGAGTGTTTTCATTAGTGATCAAAGTAATTTTAATCCATCAAAAAGTTTAGCGATTAATCAAGAAATTAATCGTTAATTTAATTTATTTTAAATGAGACCAGAGTTTTCCTTGAAAATTAATTGAAAATTAATTTGAATAACCCTTATGTGGATGGTGTTGAATGCCATGACACAGGAGTCTCTAAATGGCAGACCACAGTCCAGACATGGACCGGGTGGTGCTTCTGTCCGAACCCCATTCCGCAACCTGCACTGGATTATGGCTGCCTGGCAACAGATACACCGGCCTCCAAACTCGGTGCATCCACTTCCAGCCATAACCTAGCGCAGGACCCCCTCTCATTTCAGTAATTGGTTGCTAGGACCGCTGGCATTCTAGCAACCAATGATGTCAGGCAGGGCCATTTATCAACTTCAAGTGATTTGGGGGGGCTATACAGCCATCCAGACAGGGCCGGTGCAAGGATTTTTTCCTGCACAGAATATATTTTTGGGGCGGGAACTTACCTGCCGCTCCTCTGTTCAGAGAGGCGGCTCTGATCACACCTGTCAGCGCTCCCTCTCTCTCCTCCTGGCCACTCTGAAGCTGCAGCAACCGGGAGGAGAGAGAGGGAGCGCTGAAAGGTGTGATCAGAGCCGCCGCGGCCAGTCGCATTAGCGCCGGGTCTGCATCCAGATGACTTGTACTAGCCCGCAATCATGACACCCCCCCTTTCCCCAGCAGCTGTGCATTGTAGTGCAGCACAGTGGCGTAGTGGTTAGCCCTTCTGCTTTGTAGCACTGGGGGTCCCTGGTTCAGATCTCGGCCAGGACACTATCTACAAGAAGTTTGCATGTTCTCCCTGTGCATGGGTGGGTTTCCTCTGGGTATTCCGGTTTCCTTCCACACTCCAAAGACATGCTGGAAGGTTAATTAGCTTCTGTCTAAATTGGCCCTTGTATGTATGCATGTGAGATAGGGGCCTTAGATTGTAAGCTCCTTGAGGGCAGGAACTGATGTAAATGTGTAAAGCGCTGCATAAATAATAAATAAATAGTGCAGCTGCTGGTGTGAATGCTGCCTGAATGGCGGACAGTCAGTCAGTATGGACACAGACTGGGTGACCGTTCTTTTACTCTCCGGATCTCCTGGAATTTTAATTCACTACCCGTCATAGAAGTTGGGTTAGAACAAACAGAACTGGTGTCCTAGCATCTCAGGGATCAAATCCAGAAGTATCGACTGATTGTCCA